TTTGCTTGCTCTGAATCCTGCAGCTGGCTCATGTTTGTCTGACCTCTGGTTCTTGGGACTTGAGCTAGCACCTTACCTGTCATCTTGCCTGCTGATCTTGGGATTCGTTGGTCTTCACAGTCTTGGGTTCACCAACCCCTGCAGCTACGTGAATCAGAAGAAGCCTCTAGCCTGATCCATGGACTTGGGAAGTTCCAGCCTCTGCAACCATGTGAGCCATTTCCTTGATATACATCTCTCTATATAGATATTTATGCACTTTACTGGTATTGTTTCTCTAGAGAATTCAGTACTGAGTGGTTCTACGCAAACAAAATGATCAGGATGAGTTTTCTAAATTGTCTTAGTCATCTAATGCTGCTATAACAGAAATACCACAGGTGGATGGCTTTAACAAAGAGAAATTTATTCTCTCACAGTCTAGTAGGCTACAAGTCCAAATTTAGGGCACCAGCTCCAGGTGAGGGCTTTCTCTCTCTGTTGGCTATGGAGGAAGGTCCTTGCCATCAGTCTTCTCCTGGACAAGGAGCTTCTCAGTGCAGGGACCCCAGGTCCAAAGGACACACTATTCTTCTGGCTCTTGTTTCTTGGTGGTATGAGGTTCCCATGTCTCTCTCCTCATTTCTTTCTTTTATATCTCATAAGAGATTGGTTTAAGACACAATGTAATCTTGTAGATTGAGTCCTGCCTCATTAACATAACTTCCACTAATCCCATCTCATTAATACCATAGACGTAGAAATTACAACACATAGGAAAATCACATCAGATGACAAAATGGTGGAGAATCTCACAATACTGGGAATCATGGCCAAGCCAAACTGATACACATATTTTGGGGGGACACAATTCAACCCATGACAATTCTCAAGTCTGGTTAGTCTTAAAGATGTTGGTGACTCTGCTTCCAGTAGTAAAAAGGACATTGCTAATCCATGGCGTGAGGTGGCACTAGAAATACGCAAAATATCACCACAATAGATCAGGTATTGGTGAAAGGTGAGGCTCTGGGTGATTTCATGTTTGATATCTTTCTACAATTTTGTCATAATGAGAAGTATAAGGAAGCTGGCTGGTTGGTCCTACTTTCCCTAGACAAAGTGGTGAAAGAAAGAGATGAGCTCAGGGCTTCAGTATCAAAGCTCAAGCACCACATAAATGAACACAAAGTTTCCACTTGTGCCTTGAAAGAAAGCCTTATTCCTTGTAGTAACAGACCTGATATTGCTGAAAATCAAACGCAGAGTCTTATCCTAAGAGTGGCTGAAATACAATGCCAACTGAATCCCCAACCTCAAATAATGTCTGAAGTTAAAGTGAGGGCATTGATTGGGAAGAAATAGGATGCTGAAACTTGAGATGGGGACATATGGGCAGATAATCAGGAAGAGGGGACACTGAGCCCCTAAATTCTTTTGAATCACTCTTGCCGAAGAACCAGCCCTCTCACTCCCGTCTGAAGAGATTACTCCAGCTTTGTCTGCTAAGCCACCCTCCCCAGTAAAACCATTAGCCACTCCACTCCCATCTGTTGAGATTAACCCAGCTATGTCTGATAGAGGCTTTGTCTGAGTCACTGTCTGGGGCTTTACCAGAGGCAGATGCCTTACAAGACAATACTGAATGTTCTCAAAATACATCCCTACCACCCATTTTTGCTTCTAGACCTATAACTAGACTTAAGTCTCAGCCAGCCCCAAAAGGTGAAGTACAAAGCGTGACCCAGGAGGAGGTACGCTACATTCCAACAGCACTGCTTGACTTTTCTAATATGTGCAAACAGAAACCTGGGGAATATGTGTGGAAATGGTTATTAAGGGTGTGGGATAATGGTGCAAGGAACATAAAGATCGATCAGTCTGAGTTTATTGATATGGCCCACTAAACACAAATTCTTCATTCAGTGTTTCAGCTCAAGAGGTTAGGAAAGGGTCTAATAGTTTATTTGGTTGGGTCACTGAAGCATGGATTATGCAGTGGCCTACACTGAACAAGTTGAAGAACCAGACTTGCCTTGGTATACTGTAGAAAAAGGTATCCAAAGGCTTAGGGAAATTGGCATGTTAGAGTGGATTTATCAGGTTAGACCCACAGACCCACACAGAGTGCCCAGAGGACACATCTTTTACCACAATGGTAAGGAACAAATTTGTGAAAGGAGCCCCAGCATTGCCTCAGATAAAGGCACTCACTTCACAAAAATGAAGAGTGGCGATAGGCCAATGCTCATGGAATTCACTGGTCTTACCACGTTCCCCATCATCCTGAAGCAGTTGGCTTGACAGAATGATGGAATGGCCCTCTAAAGACACAATTACTGTGCCAGCTACGTGGCAATATCTTGCAGGTTGGGCAATGTTCTCCAGGAGCCCATATATGCTCTAAACCAGAGTCCAATATATGGTGCTGTTTCTCCCATAGCCAGGATTCCAGGAACCAAGGAGTGGAAATGGGAGTGGCACCACTCACTATTACCCCTAGTGATCCACTTGCAAAATTTTTGCTTCCTGTCTCCATGACTCTATGTTCTGCAGGTCTAGAGGTCTTAGTTCCAAAGAGAGGAATGCTCCCACCTGGAGACACATCACTGATTCCACTGAACTGTTAAGAAAGCTGCATAGCCATTTAGGGCACAATATGCCTCTGGATCAACAGGCAAAGAAGGGAGTTACCATATGACCATATTGACCAGTGTGATTGATCCTGATTACCAAGAGGAAATCAGATTGATATTACACAATGGAGGCAAAGAAGACTGTATCTGGAATGCAGGAGATCCCTTAAGGAGTCTGTTAGTACTACCATGCCCTGTGATTACAGTCAATGGAAAACTACAGCAGCCCAATTCCAACATGACTACTAATGGCCCAGATTCCTCAGGAATGAAAGTTTGGGTCACTCCACCAGGCAAAGAACCACGACCTGCTAAGGTGCTTGTTGAGGGCAAAAGGAATATGGAATGGGTGGCAGAAGGTAGTTCTAAATACCAGTTATGACCACGTGACCAGTTGCAGAAACAAGGCCTATAATTGTTGTATTTCTTCTTTGTATGTGTGCATCAAATATTTTTGTTTTCTTTACTTATAAAATATAAGATGTAAACAGGGCTAGTGCATTCTCGGTTGTACGTGTGTTAGTTGTCATCATGATAGGTGCAAGTATGACTTTATAATTGTCTTTATTCAGAGATCATGTATGGTTTAAGGAGATGTGTACAGGTGCCAAGTTGACAAGGGGTGGACTGTGATCATTAAGGCTGTGTGTCAATTTGGATGGGCCATGACTTTCAGTGGTTTGGCAGTTATGATGTAGTCTGGCAGTCATACAATGATGTAATTGCTTCCATAATGAGATCTGATATAATGTGATCACCTCCATGATGGGATCTGCTGTGAGTAGCTAATCAGTTGAAAAGGAGTTTCCTTGGGACTGTGGCCTGCATCCAATATAGGTGGACCCTCTGGCAAGGCTTATGGACTTTTGCTCACTCTAGATCCTGCAGCTGGCTCCTGTTCATCTGATCTCTGGTTCTTGGGACTTGAGCTAGCAGCTTACCTGCCATCTTGCCTGCCAATGTTGGGAGTCATAAGTCTTTGCAGCCTTGAGCCAGAGCCCTGCTGTCTGATCTACCGATCTTGGGTTCGCCAGCTCTTGTGGCTATGTCCATCAGGACAGGTCTGCAGCCTGACCCATGGACTTGGAACATATGAGCCTCTTCCATCATATGAGCCATTTCCTTTTTATAAATCTATATATATATATTTGGGGTCCTGGTGGTGCAGTGGTTGAGAGCTATAATGTGCTATGGCTGCTAACAAAAAGGTCAGCAGTTCAAATCTACTAGCTGCTCCTTGGAAACCCTATGGAGCAGTTCTACTCTGCCTTATAGGGTCACTATGAGTCGGAATTGACTTGATGACAACAGGTTTGGTTTGGGTTTGGTATATATATATATATACATGGTTGACTAGTTTTTCTTCTCTAGAGAACTCAGCCTAAGACAAGCATCTAGGGATCAGGGCACCAACTATTTACTTTGATTTTCTACCTCCTCTGCCCTTCACTTTCTTCAGTGATCACTGGGAAGCCAGTCACTTTATGTTTCTCTGGGTCGATTTCCATTTGTGCATCTGTAGGCTGTTGGCATCTTTCCCTCCCTGTCTTGGCCTGCCTTTGCCAGTGCAGTGAGGTCGATGTCATTTAGAGGAGCTGTTGCACTGATGGCAGCCTCACACACCTGGAGCCTGAAAGACAAATAGACCAACAGACACTATAAGAAACCTGATAAATAGGCCAAAACTGATAGGATGGCCAAAAACACAAAGGGAGACAGATAACAAAGACATGGCTACTTAGTTCTGCAAGACAAAGGGGTGGGGATGGGGGGGAGGGGAGTGATTTCATCCCTCAGTTTCCCTCCAAAACACACACACATACACACACACACACACACACACATAACAGCAGCCACAGCTTCATCAGGAATTGAAGTGGGTATGCATTTTCACCTGATTTCCTCATTATTATCTCAAGCTGTTAAAAGAAACTCTTGAGCCTGGCACAGGAGTGTATCTATCTCAACTGCTGGACAAATAGGCCCAAACTCAGTTGTACGGAGGGCCACGCTGATTCTAACCATCCTTTTGTGACCTCATTCCCTGACCCTGGTTCCGTTTGCCACTTTGTGATGTCATCCATGAGCAATCTTGTTTCAGCTCCCAAGATTCCGAGGGCCCAGGAGCCTGGTTCCTTTACAGAATCCAATTTGGGGGTGGTTTAGGGCTGAGCCCTCATCGGATGAGAAGCAAAGCCTTTTACTGCCTTCCCTTAAACCTGAGCCTAGGTCCATCTTAACGTTCAGATCACGGCTCATAGGCTTTGGGCTCCATGTTTCCACTGAACTCTTGAGCCGCTTCAGAGACCAACGTCCAGAGTGCCCCAGCTGCTGTTTCTACAGCATCCCTGGAGCTCATGGTAGTCTCCCTTCTCTCCACAGGCAATGGACACCAAAGGCTCGTCGGCCCCCGAGCTGCCTCAGCTGCTGGGCCAGAGCCCTCGGCGGTGCACCCGGGCTCTCGGAGCGGGAGAGAAGAACATGCTGAGCAGCACCACGGCAGCCCAGGCCTTAGCCACCGTCATTCGGCCTTGCTACGGCCCCCACGGACGCCAAAAGCTGCTGGTGACTGCTACGGGAGAGACCGTCTGCACGGGCTACACCACGGCCATTCTCAGGGCCTTAGAGCTGGAGCACCCGGCGGCCTGGCTTCTTCGGGAGGCATCCCAGACTCAAGCCGAGAGCAGGGGCGATGGCACGGCCTTTGTGGTCCTCCTGGCAGGAGCCCTGCTTGAGCAGGCCGAGCTCCTGCTGAGGGCCGGCCTACCGCGCGCACAGCTCCGGGAGGCCTATGCAGCAGCAGCCACCGAGGTCCTGGCCACACTGCCCTCCTTGGTAGTCCGATCCCTGGGTCCTTTGGAAGACCCTTTTTGGGCCCTCTATTCTGTGATGAATACCCACACTCTGTCCCAGACGGGCTTCTTGACCAAGCTAGTGGCCCAGGCATGCTGGGCTACCAGGGAGCTAGATGGAAGCTTCAATCCAGAGCGCATCGGCGTGTGCACATTGCGTGGAGCCACACTGGAGGACTCGTGCCTGCTCCCAGGGCTGGCAGTGGCCGGGAAACCCTGTGGACAAGTAACCATGGTATTAAGGGGTGCCAGGGTCGCTCTGTTTGCCTGCCCCTTTGGCCCAGCCACTCCAAACGCACCAGCAACTGCCTGTCTCTCCAGTCCTGATGACCTAAATAAATTTAGGAATGGAAGCGAGCAACTGATAGAAAAGCAGGTATTCCAGCTGGCAGCTATGAGTATTAACGTGGCGGTGGTGTTGGGGGAAATCGATGAGAAGACCCTATCACGAGCCGATAGGTCTGGCATCATGGTGATTCAAGCCAAGTCGCGGAGGGAGATGGTGTACCTGAGTGAGGTGCTGGACACACCTTTGCTGCCTCATCTGCTTCCTCCCCTGGTGCCAGGGAAGTGCCAGAGGGTCTACGGACAGGAGCTGGGAGAAGGTTTGGCTGTGGTATTTGAATGGGATTGTCCAAGCTCACCTGCCCTCACTTTGGCCCTCAGGGGGGCCACGACTGAGGGGCTGCGGGGTGCAGAGCAGGCTGCCTACCATGGAATTGATGCCTATTCCCAGCTGTGTCAGGATCCCAGACTGCTTCCAGGGGCCGGGGCCACAGAGATGGCTCTGGCTAAAATCCTCTCAGAAAAAGGAAGAAAACTGGAAGGGCCTGATGGTCCTGCATTCCTAGCCTTTGCCCAGGCTCTGAGGTCTCTTCCTGAAGCCTTGGCAGAGAACGCAGGCTTAGCTGTTGCCAACGTGATGGCAGACATGTACGGAGCTCACCAAACTGGGAACTTCCTTGTAGGAGTGGGAGAAGAAGGGTTAATAAATGTGGCCCAGGAGCAGGTGTGGGACATCCTCATGGCCAAAGCCCAAGGACTTCGTGTGGTAGCTGATGTAGTGCTACAGCTCGTGACTGTAGATGAAGTTGTAGTGGCCAAGAAAAGTCCCCCACAACAGCAGGACTTGAATTCTGATTCTAAAAAGGCAAAGAAATGCCCATCTCTTGTGAAAAAATATATTTGGAAAACATAAATAGCAACAGCCTCAATAAAGTGGGGATTGCCAAGGAGGGGACAATCCCTCCCTCCCAAAAAGAATGTTTGCCTGATTTATTCCCTTCATATTTGGTACTTTTACAGTCAGTTTCATTAGGAAAAATACAACCTAAAGGACTATGAAAGTCCTTTTCACTGATTTACTTTCTTTTCAGATTCTTGTCTTTTCTTATCTCACCCCATCAGATTCTATTGCTTTCTTAAGGTAAGAGCTTGATTTATTAAAGATTTTTTAATTGAGTACTTGGGCTTTGGGGATGCAAAGGAAGTAATCCTTTCCCAACCATCCCAGGAACATCCCTGCATGATTTTCTAATATATGTGAATCTATGTCTAGATCTCATTTTAGTAACCTGAGAATATTAGTTCCAGATTCCAGAAGTGCCAGTCATTCTGGTTGTGATTATTTGAAAAAAAAAGGAATATCATTTTAAGTCCAAAAAATAAAAAAAGAAAGATGAAGAGGAGAAGAAGAAGAAAGGAAAAGGAACGGAGCTGGCAACCAGAAATACAAGTTTTTGTTTTGTTTTTTAAGTATCCTTGGCATAAATAACTGAAGATAAGGAAAAATGAACACACACCTTGGAACTGCGTGTAGGTGTGGAGAGGGCTAGGGAACACCTGGCACAAGGATATCAGGGTTACAGCTGGATACCCCTGGGCATTAAAGAGGGGATTTAAGCAGAACTGAATAGGTTCAGCAATACTACCCAAAGCTCTTCCACTCCAAGTGACTCTGCCTCTTGGGAAAAGAGCAGAATCTAGGAGGAGACTCTACGAGGTGAAAGCTGAAATTTCTTAGAATCATAAAAACAAAACCGCTTTAAATATCTGGACAGCAGACACATGAAACAAATGTCCTATAGCGGGCATATTACTGGCAACAAAGCCAAACAAACTTGCAAGTGTTCTGCTGAAACCGGGGGGAAATGAAATCCTGAAAAATTTAATGAACAAAGGATGATACATTTAAATGTATCAAACTATCCTCATTATTACTAATTTATAAAACATCATTTTCCTGTTTTTACATGTCTTCATCTTTATATGTTTAGTGAACATAACTGTTGTTGTTAGATCCCTGTCAAGTTGGCCTCCTGGCTCCTGGGGACCAACTCGACAGGCATCTAACAACAACAGCTATGTTCAAGGAATACTCCCTGGTCCTGTGCCGTTTGCATGATTGTTGAGGATCAGACTGTTGTCATCCACAGGGTTTTCATCAGCTGGTATTTTGGAAGTAGATCACCAGGCCTTTCTTCCTAGTCCATCTTAGTCGGGAAGCTCTGTTGAAACCTGTTCAGCATCACAGCAACACAGAAGCCTCCGATGAAAGACAGGTGATGGCTTGTGCATGAGGTGAGTTTGCCAGGAATCCAACTCGGGTCTTGCACATGGAAGGAGAGAATTCTATCACTGAACCACCAGTTCATCTTGCTGGAACATAACTAAATGCTTTCATAGTTCTCTCCTGCCCTTAATTTCCCTTTTATTCTCATAAAATCTTAAATTCCATAATAGTAGTGATGATACATGCATGCAGAAGCTGGAGAATGAATAAAGAAGACCAAAGAAGAATTGATACATTTGAAGTACGGTATTGGTGAAGAATATTGAATATACCATGGATAGCCAGCAGAACAAACAAATCTGTTTTGGAGAAGTACAGCCAGAATCCTCTTTAGAAGCAAGGATGACAAGACTTCATCTCACGTACTTTGGACATGTTATCAGGAGGGACCAGTTGCTGGAGAAGGATATCATGCTTGGTAGAGGGTCAGTGAAAAGGAGAAGGACCCTCAATGAGATGGACTGACACAGTGGCTGCCAACAACAGGCTCACACATAGCAACAATTGTGAGGATGGCGCAGGACCGAGCAGTGTTTCGTTCTGTTGTACATGGGGTCACTATGAGTCGGAACCGACTCGATGGCGCCTACCAACAACAAAGTGATGATATAAATAGTTAACTTTTTAAAGCAGTTCAAAAGCACTTTACATAAATTTTATTTAATCCTCAAAACAAATATATAAGAAACCTGATTATCTCGAGACACAAGTGAACTTCAGAAAGTTTACTGTCCAAACTTACATAGTAAATGGAACAGGGAAACTTGCTTTCTTATCCACTATGTTTTATTACACCAACCATAAATCCCCCTATTGCAGATGTTTGGAATTTTACAATTAGTGTTTTTTTAATCAGACAAAAAGCCACATTTATTTTTGTAAAGAAGAAAAGATGGCTCCTGCTCACATAGAACATTCTAGTTATGGATTCAAGACATAAGTAGGCCAAACAATGCACATAGTATAATTAAAATGTCCTAACTTTGATACACAAGGGACCTTTCAATAATTTATTTTGGGGGAAATCACATATGACATTTCATTACCGTCTCCCCTCCCCCAGACAGACATGTGCATGTGTGCACGGAAACACACACACACATATACATATGCAACTGTATATATGTAAAAGCAAGTTAAAATTAACATCAAGGGTGGCTTTACAAGGGACCAAAAAAAGCTGTAGCAGACACAGAGTTAATTGACTTATGCCGAGAGCTTTAAAAGTAGAAACACCTGACTCAAACTTGATGCGGGACAGAGAAATTAAGGCATTTTATGGCCACATCCTGGGGGAAGTCCAAGGCCTTCTGCTACCGAGATCCTATGAGCCACCCTGGTTCCCATCCTTCCCAAGACTGGTTGGAAGTAACCTTCAGACAAATCTCCTTGAGTTAGCCAGAGTTAGTTTCCCCATCTTGTAACCTAAAGAACATTAAGTGATCTAGAAGGGAAGAAAATGTCATACAACAATGAAGGTGATTACCATGGGCAGCTAGAGGAATGGGCTTAGGGAAGAGAGTTAATGACTATATAAGCTGAAAGTGTGTGGAGTATTGGGATTCTTTTAGCATCAGGTGAGGGTCATCTGCTTTCTCACAGCCTGCCTTCTAAGCATTTGCTATTCAAAATGTGGTCCATGAACCAGCAGCATCAATATTATTTAGGTGCATGTTAGAAATGCAGACTTCCGAGTTCCCCTGTCCCAGACCTCCTATGCCAGAATTTGCACTTCAATAAGATCCTGAGTTGACAGGTGTTCATGTGAACATTTGAGAAGCACGGATCTAAGTGACAATCTCAATCACTAAATCTTGATTATGGCCAGAATTCCAAGTGCCAAAATATACAACTCAGACATCAAATTGTTTTGTTTTTCCTACTGACTATGGACAAGTTGATCAGCAGTTGACCTTAATTTTACTGGGTCCAGGACCTGCTTCCGAAGTAATAGGATCAGAGGTCTCCTAGAATGTAGGATCTCAAGTTTTCCAAAGGCCCACTGGGTTAGCTACATAGTTCTGTTCTAAATGTGCTTCTCCTCTGTGGTTTATTGACAATTTCCCCTAGTACCCAGTCATCTAGTTAAGAAGCTGCCACTGCCCCAAAGGAAGGTTGTTAGTGTAGCAGTAAAATGCCAATATCTGCAGTACACATGTAAGAAATAGACGTCTTGGAAGACTACTTGCTGAACCAACTTCTCCCCTAAAACATCACTCCTCCTAATACACACAAACACACACAAAGATCTTACTTCCTAACTAGGGAGATAAAGGAAGAAGGTTAGGGTGAGAATGAGATACAATAGGGTCCCTGAGAGGGGTTTTGCACTCCTCCTGGTGGGTTCTAAGGGGTGAGATGGGGGTAAAGGATGATACAATCCCCAGGGAAGTTTGAGGACTTGAAAACAGAGGTGCATTCTCTGCTTCCAGTCTGGAACCCTGGAGCCTCGGAAACATCGGAGCTATACAGAAGTGGCTGTGTGTGGGGGTGTGGTGGGTAAGAAAGGGCAGAGGTGCCTGACAGGATGGTCTGTGGGGCCCGTGTGGCATCCAAAAGCAGCCAGGCATCTCTTTGCCCCTGAACAGCATGTGTCATGTATTTGAGGGTATAGACCCTGAACCTTAAGGGGATTCCAAGGTCATAGCAAGAGATAGGATTGAACAGGCCAGATAGGATTGTAAACTTTAGCAGAGGCCAGAGAAAGACAGAAAGTGGGTTCAGACAGATGCCTTTCACAGGACACCAAGATGATGCAAAAGCCTATGGAATTTGGACCAATCTGGGGTGAATGAGAGGAGGAGGGGAAGAAAGAAATCAAGAGCTGACTTAGTTAAGGGCTGGACTGATCAAGAAAAACCACAAAAGGACTAAATTTACCTGCAGTTGATTAGATTAAGTATTCAACTATCTGAAAGGGGGCTTGACAAAACTAAAACCATTCCTGAGGCCAACTCTTCAGACAAAGGTTAGACTGGACTATGGGACATAAAATGATACTCGTGAAGAGTATGTTTCTTAGCTCAAGCAGATACATGAGACTAAATGGGCAGCTCCTGTCCAGAGGTGAGATGAGAAGGCAGAGAGGGTCAGGAGCTAGTTGAATGGACATGGGAAATCCGGGATGGAAAGGAGGAGTGTGCTGTCACAGTATAGGGAGAGCAACTAGGGTCACAAAACAATGTACGTATAAATTTTTGTATGAGAGACTAACTTGAATTGTAAACTTTCACTTAAAGCACAACAATAAAAAAAAGAAAAGAAAATGAAGCAGCCAAAGAAGAAAAAGAAATATTGAGATTACTTAGTAATAGAAAGACAGTCACACATACTTCTCACAGGGCTTGAAAATCATACTCTGTGTGAAGGTAAATATTGAATAAAGAATTCAGACACTGTCCTCCATGTATCATGAAGAGAACTTGACATTAGTTAACTGCAGTGCTGAGAGAGACTAGATGCCGGTGAGCAGAACCATGGTAATATGTTTGTAATGCAGCACATATTTGAGACGCAACACTGTACATTACACAGGTTAAGAAAAATAATGAGTCTCTAGAAGCTTTCTTCTAACCCACTAAATGCATCAGGAAGGAAAGTGGACCCCAGTGAGTCTTGGGAAACCA